GAGGTGAGCCCCTTCTTCCTCCCTGCCCTTGCACTGTGCTGTTTCTGCCTTGCCAGAGACCTGAGAGCAGTGGAGCCAGAAAACCATGTACTGAGACTCCTGAAACCAGGAGCAAAAATAAACCATTACTTTAAGGCTTTTTTTTTTTTGTTCCTTGAATGCCTTCAGGGCACTTTTTGGCCAGCTGGAGAGGTGTGAGGTTCGAACTCCAGCAACCTGAGGCTGACAGCTTTGTGGAAGCAACCACTTAAACAACTGAGCTAAGGCCAGGCCCCCAAGCCATTACTTTAAATTGTGTGTGTCAGATATTTTGTCCAGCGATGGAGAGGTGACCAGTAATAGCGGGTTCAGGCTCCTTGTGTGCTGTCTTATTTTAGAGGTGTTAAAGATCAGGACTGTTGCCGGTCTTGCATGTTAAAGGCGCACAGTATTTTGAATGACTTCTTTTACGATCAGGGACATTTATTACAAAAGGGAAGAATTTTCTGAGTCAGAAGAGTACTTCGACCTTTGGACCTTTGTCTCATCCCATTAGATTTTCAGAAAGATAGCTATGCATTGGAAGGACTGGTGCTTATCTCTGCTTTGTGAGCAAAAGTCACAATGACTGGAAAACAGATTGACACATGGGTCTTTTTTGATTTTTTCTTTTTGGAGACCATCTCACTATGTAGTTCAGGCTGCCCTTGAATTTACTATTGGCCTCAAGCACAGCAGTCCTGCCTCAGCCTCCCAAGTGCTGGGAATATAGGCACGCACCACTATGCCCGGCTGACTCGGGACTTTCTACAGTAAGAAGAAGTTTCAGTACCATTGTAGTCAGGGTTTGCAAGGAGAACAATTTAATATATTTTATTTTTAAAAATTTATTATTTTTAATGTTTTTAGTATAGGGTCTCACTACACAGATAGGACTCATTGTGATCCTTGTTTTTCAGCCTCCCAAGTTCTGGGATTACAGGTGTGCGTCACCACACCCAATCTCACAGAATTTAATATAGTACACAGAATTTTTAGGATTATTTTGTAATAGTCACCCAAAGAGTCAAGTTTGAAAGAGGGCAGGAAATCTGTCCATACACTAATGACCAAAAAAATCCAGTCGAGGGCATGGCCTACGTGAATCCAGCTGAAGACTTAGAGACCGTCACAATGCCCCCATGAGTCCACCTGGAGGCCAAGAGTCCATGACAGTATCTCACGTAGGCCTGTTGCGGTGATCTGCATTGGGAAGGCCCAAAGGTCAGCAATGGAAGCTATAAAGTTTGTTTTAGCAGGATGAAAGATCTGTGCCAGCCAGCTGAGGGATCTGCACTGGAGCCAGAAAGCGATGTTCAAAGTAAGGACCAGAGGGCCGGCCAGATAAGTCAGTGGACTAATGTGCCTGCTTAGGCAGTATGCAGTGGCTGGGGTTGCCCCGCCCCTGGGGTGTGCTGAGATGGTGACTGAGACTGGGTGTGGTGGTGTGCTTCTGTAATCCCAGCGCTTGGGAGGCTGAAACAGGAGAATCACTACAAATCCAATCTGTGTAGTAAGACCCTGTACTAAATATACAAAGTAAGGACCAGAGCTCCCGCAAAGTGAAATGCAGCCATTTCAGCAACAGCAAGGTCCCGAGCTCCTTCAGTGATGAAGACAGCCAAGTTCATATCAGAAAAGCCAGCATGACAAGCTTCTTCAGGAGAACCAACAGCACCAAGAGAACCAACAGTTCCCAAATGGCACCCATTTCTCCTCCAGTTCATCTTTTTATGTTGTCAACAGCTCTCAGATGGGCCCTTCATGCCTAGCACCATGCTGATTCAGTTCAACTGGGTGCTACAAGTTGACCACAATTGTCAATCCAGCACAATCCACTCTGGTCAACTTGATAATCATACATATTTCCTTAGTCCGTAGTCTCTAGTGGTAGATTTATGATCAGTTTACATGTCTTGGTTTTTTCAGAGTTACATTTATTTAATAATCACATATATACAATTCTTATTACATTCATTTTAGTACCAAAAGCAAAATACTCAAAGGGTGACCAAAATTCAACATTTAAACCACAATACTTTGACTAACCTTATTAAGAAGGACATTAAAATCACATTAAAAGAACTATTTCTTTTACAGCCCTTGATTCCCATTAACTTTTTAAAACTTTTTTTGGTTTTTGACAGCCAAATCTCTTTTATTGGGGCAGTGGGCCTTGGGGTGGGCCCCGGATCCTCACTGCATAGCTTGTTCATTGGCGCTGTCTCCAGAGTGCCGAGGCTTCCCATCTGGAAGCTCTGGCAGGCTAGATAAGGGCTCAGTGTGCAGGGCCTCAAAGATATCCTCTGCTTGGAAGGCCAGCCCCACTATGGCTGGGGCCTGTGGCCTTGAGGTCTGGCTGGTAAAGCCACACTCTCTCAGTGTTTGGCCGTCTTCTGTAAGTTGGTCATCCTTGTACAGTCTCTCTGCTTGTTGGGAGGCTCCTTGAGGATGCCCTCGATGATGATGTGCTTCAGCTTGAACACAGTGCTTGATTCCTTGGCGTCCATGAAGGTGGTGGTCCTGTGGCACCAGATTACGAGGAATCCATCCATCTCTGTAGGTGCCTCTCACTCACCATGCTCCAGTAACTTTAACAAGGTATGGCAAGACAGAAACAGAGCTCTCTTGCAGTTCACATACATTTGAAGTGAAAGGTTTCAGTTTATTTTTCAGTTGTCCTTTTCCTCCTCATCAACCATATTCTCCTATTTTTCTTTTCCTTTTTTTGGGCCGGCTCAGCCTGCCCTGCAGGTAGGGCTGGTATGACATATGGTGCTGGGGATTGAACCATGGTCCCCTGTGCCTGCCTAAGTTTGCCTACGCAGATGCTTTAGGCCACTGAGCTATCTTGCTGGCCCCTTGTTTTCCTATTTTAACCTTGCAACCTGCAGCTCCATTAGAGCCAAATGTTTTATATCACCTTGCTGGCTCTTCACTTTTGATTTCCGACATTGATCTGGCTAAAATCTATTCAACAGTAACCATGACACCTTCCCAACAGTAGACTACATTGAAATTTTTCTGCCAACCAGATAATATCCCTAAACACAAGCAAAATGAGGACCAGCTCACTGCCAAAGCACAGTGTACTACTGGGATCCAGCAGCCAATGCAGTACTTGTCAGTTGAGGCCTCTGGAGCTTCCATCTTAACCGGTAGCATTTCCATCAGTATTCTGATTTTTCCAAGCCCTGACCAGAGTCTCCAATATGTTTATAGCATACAGGGGCTGCCTCTTTGCCCAGTGATAAAGAATTAATTCCCAAAGCTCTTAAGCCAATATCACAACAATGGCTCCACTCCTGGTACCAATTTCTGTATCAGTCAGGGTTTTGCTAGAGAAACAGCTATAACACGTGATATACAAACAAGATTGGCTTACAGTGGTCAGCCACAGAATTGGAGGAAGAAGTGTGCAGTGGATGCCTGCACACCAGTCTGGAGCATTCAGTTCAAGGTCTTGAGCTCATCACAGTGTCTGCGCAAGTCCCTATCAGGAGGCTGATGGGTATGCAACAAAGCTGACCATTGGAAGGCGGAAGGAGCCAAGGCAGAAGCCAAAGAGTTTATGCTGGAAGCCAGGAGATGCCACGCAAGCTGAAGGGAAGACTGAAGCTCTTCTGAAGAACAGAAATCCATCTGTAGGTCCACTACACCTAGGTGTAGAATTGCTGAGCCAATTTATTTAAGCATCTAAACTTCTCAAGTTAATACAGTCAACCAGCCTCTACAGATAGTTTTTTACACTGTCTTCCATATAGTTATCTGTATATTTTCTCTTTAATTACATCTACAATTGATGGGACTTTATTTATTTTTCTTAATGGTGCTAGGGATTTAACCTAGGAACCTCAAGCATGCTGGGATGGCACTTTACCACTGAGGTAAGTCCTCAGCCCCTAGTTAATAGATTTTTTTTTTTTTTTTTGTGGAACCGGGGATTGAACTCAGATCTTTGCGTTTGCCAGTCAAGTGCTTATCCTACTGAGCCATCTCCCCGGCCCCATAGATTTTTGAAAAACAGTAAAAATATATATATTTTTTAGGTTGGTACATAGAAATAATGCATACAAATGGGTATGTGTAATGTTTTGGAAAAGTCAGTATTTATTTGTAGAATTTCAAGTGCTGATATTTCTCCCACTGCCCTTCAAGTTCCTCTGAAGCTTGAGTGTGGCTCATCTTCAGGAGAAGAGCCTGTGCATAGCCCACACTTGTCCTGTCAGCTCTCAAAAGTCTTTAATTTGGAACTGTGGGACTCTTGAATGATACCACTATACCAGTGGTGCTGTTTTTAATTTGGAATAGTGGATAAAACTCGGGACAATCTTAAAATTACCCTTCAGGATCTTTGGGGTCCAGGTTCCTCAAACAGTTCCATAAGGGCCATTTTTAGGGTAATGTGTCTGCCTGGTTCTTAGTTTGAGGAACCCTCACTAAACAGGAGTGGGTGCAGTCATGTCCTTCCTGTGCTGTCACACTGGAGAACGGTGCAGATGTGTGGGGTTTGGCAGTACCTGCAAGCTAGACATCAGCTTTCAAGGTTACTTTTAAGAGAAAGGACATTTGGCATTAGCATTATTTAGGAATATGAAGCCAACAGAGCCAACATTTCCTTCATGTTCTGTGCCTTAATTATCAGCTTCTCAGTTCAGGAGTCAACCTTTATGGTCATCTGTACCCCATCACTTTATCAACTGTCTTGGTTGTCATGATAGCCCCCCCTTTTTTTTTGTTCTTTTTTTTTTTTTTTTTTTCGGAACCAAGGATTGAACTCAGGCCCTTGGGCTTGCTAGGCAAGTGCTTATTCTACTGAGCCATCTCCCCAGCCCTTGTTCTTTGTTTTTTTAAGACAGAGTTTTGCTATATAGTTTGGGCTGAACTTGAGCTCACTTTGTAGCCCCAGGCTGGTCTTGTACTTGCAGTGATCCTCAGCCTCCTGAGTGCTGGGATTACAGGCGTGTACCACCACACCTGACAGTATTCCTTCTTTTATGTATCCAGGCTCATCCTGAACAGTAAATTCTATGTTGCAAAAGATGATTTGCTTTTTGTGCTTGTCCATGAGTCTTTGTGCAAATAAAACGCACACACACACACACACACACACACACGCTACTAAATTGAGAGTTTTAGTGGTAGTCTGTTATTTAAAAATGTTTTTTACTTCATGCAAGCTTAGACTTTTAATTGGAAACAATTCAGTGAAGGTCTAGGGTGTGGTGGCCACATCTTGGGGAAGGCCCACTATATGTTTCCAGGCATGGCCTTGGGATAGCCGTTAGCGGTTGAGAAAACTTTGCATTTCTCAGTTATGCCTGGAAAGACGCTAGATAGAGTTATATTTCACTATATGTAGATTTACATCTTGACATTGTAATAGACATTTCAGATGCCTAAAATTCAGGCTTTTCTGGTTTCATGGGATGGTCTGGAATGGTACATTCTTGAGACATACTTTTGGGCTTAAGAGGGTAGCTTTTACCTACGCTTGGATTATGGTAAAGTGTGAAGGAATCATACTGTGTGTTTCCAAAGCATATGTAAATCAAACAGCTATGCAGGGAGCCTGCATTTGACCTGGGAACTCACTCATGGGGTGCAGAATTCAGTCCATTTGGTCAACAGGTTTCTCAGGAGCAGTGTGAAGCACTGGACAGTGTCTTGGGAGGGAGCACAGTGATGAGTGAAATAAGATTGGTTTTTGCTTTTCTTGGGCAAGATATATATTATTCACTAGATGAAGAGGAAACTAGCATGATGCTGGAGATCGAAGCTGTCCATTCAGGGACTGGAGAACTAAGCTGGCTATTCTTGGAAGAAATGATGTGGGTTTTTTGTGTTTGCTTTGCTTTTTTGGGCCAGAGTGGCACTATACAATTCAGACTGGGCTTGAACCTACTATGTAGCCCAGGCAGGCATGGAGCTTGTGGTGGTCCTCCTGCTTCCACCTCCAGTGCTGGAGGCATGCACCACCATGCTGGGCTGGAAGTGATGTTTATACTGAGGTCTGTATGTGGAGCCAGTGGGTTGCTGGGCTCTTCTCACACAGCCCTGAAAAGTGGCAGCCAGCAAGTGGTCAGAGCCCAAGCACTTCAGCCTACGTCCTTGATCCTAAGGGTATTTACTACCCACAGATATGCAAATATAACATATGCAAATCATCACAGAGCCCTGCACAGTCATGAGGGATAATGCTGCCTCCTCATGTTTCTGTATTTGTGTTATACAGTCTTGCTATTCCACGTGATGAGTAGCATTATGATGGGTGATTACTTTGAGGTAGTCTGAGTATTAATTAGAATTGGAATTTAAAATTTTAAGAAAAACCCAGGTGTGGTGGTGCACACCCATAATCCCAGCATTCTGTGGGCTGAGGCAGGAGGATGGCCTTAAGTTTGAGGCCAACCCTGGGCTACATAGCAGCTTCAAGGTCAGCCTGAACTACATACATAGCAAGATCCTGTCTCAAAAAGCCCCCCCCCAAAAAAAAAAGTTTTCTTATGATAACACCATACTTGTCATGTTTTACAGTACTGAGATTTTTGAAAGCAAATCCTTTAATGTTTTGCATGTAGAAAGTTGCCAATTTACTTTCAGACTATACAGAAAATAAAATTTTTAGTACAAAAATTAAAAATATTTAGGAGAGGTAAATAAAATCCACCTGTAGGGTTAGCTTTATGCTCCGTAGATGCCTCTGCAGTATTAAAAGCCTTGATCTTTGGGTTTGAGTGTTTTAACTCACTGTTTTATAAACAGCTGAATAATGGGGATGTAATGCAGTAGATTTAATTGTATTACGGAGTATAGATGATTAGTGCTAGAATTACTGTCAGCCTACATTGATAGTCATTAAATAAGAATTGAAGCAAGTGTAAACCATTTCTAGGCCAAGCATTTAACATTTGTGGTGTTATGGTTATTATGAACATTATTTCAGAATAAATAATTGGAAGTATTTTACATTTGACAAATTGAATGAAGTTAAAAATTGAATCCACCTCCTTGTCATTTGCTAATTTTATGTTTCACTGAATGCTTACTGTTATCATGTAAATCACCGAGAGTTATCTGTGCCTGTTCTGTGGGTGGCAGCAGCCGAGTGGGGTGAGTGCTCCTGGGCGCCAGGGCTGGGGCAGCAGGGATTTGGGACAGTTTGCAAGTCCCTTTAGAAGAGGGCCCCGGGACACCAAGCTGTGGGGGAACTGCTAGAATCAAGGTGAGGGCCATGGAGTTTGGGGCGCATGGCAGTCCTGGCTGACCAGTGTTGTACCTAAGTGGTTAAAGAATTTCAAAATCATTTTAGTCATCTCGTGATTAGTCAGACAGTGTGGATTCCTGTGAGCACAAATCTATAGTTGGCATTCAAATAATCTTGGTGAAATTATATTTCTTCACAGTTTTACTAGGCTATTCTTTTCCATTTTTGGGTTAGTGTAGTACATTCCGCCTACATTTCTTGGCTAGGAATAGTCCCCTTCCCCCTTTTAGACAAAGCTGTGTATAATTGTGTACTCTCTTAAAGAGAATAATTTCTGCACATTTGGGTATCAGAGTTAATGATTTTGACACTCATTTTGTCTGTAAATGTGAGAATAATTAAAGATGTTTTTTCACCAAGCTTGGTGGTGCCCGTCTGTAATTTCAGCACCTGGGAGGCTCAGGCAGGAGGATTGCTGCAAGTTCGAGGCCTGCCTGACCTATATAGTTGGTTCAGAGGCAGCCTGAACTACACAAGACCTTGTCTCCAAAAACCAAAACCGCTTCTTCTTTTCTGGGAAACACCAAATGGCGGATGATGCCGGTGCAGCGGGAGGCCCTGGGGGCCCAGGCATGGGAGGCCGCAGTGGCTTCCTGAGAGGCTTCGGCAGTGGCCTTCGAGGTCGCAGGGGCGGCAGAGGCCGGGGCTGAGGCGAGGCCACGGGGATCGCGGTGGTAAGGCCGAGGACAAAGAGTGGATTCCTGTTGCCAAGCTGGGCCGTCTGGTCAAAGACGTGAAGATCAAGTCCCTGGAGGAAATTTACCTTTTTTCCTTACCCATCAGGGAGCCCGAGATTATTGACTTTTTCCTGGGCTCATCCCTCAAGGATGAAGTTCTGAAGATCATACCTGTGCAGAAGCAAACTCATGCTGGCCAGCGGACCAGGTTCAAGGCATTTGTCGCCATTGGGGACTACAATGGTCATGTTGGCCTGGGTGTAAAGTGTTCCAAGGAAGTAGCCACTGCCATTCGTGGGGCCATTGTCCTGGCCAAGCTCTCCATCGTCCCTGTTACAAGAGGCTACTGGGGAAACAAGATTGGCAAACCCCACACTGTTCCTTGCAAGGTGACAGGCCGCTGTGGCTCTGTGTTGGTGTGTCTGATCCCTGCCCCCAGAGGCACTGGCGTTGTCTCAGCCCTTGTGCCCAAGCTGCTGATGGCTGGTATCGATGACTGCTACACCTCTGCTAGGGGCTGCACCGCTACTTTGAGCAACTTTGCTAAGGCCACCTTTGATGCCATCTCCAAGACCTACAGCTATCTGACCCCTGACCTCCGGAAAGAGACTGTGTTCACCAAGTCTCCCTATCAGGAATTCACTGACCAGCTTGTGAAAACCCACATCAGAGTCTCTGTCCAGAGGACTCAAGCTCCAGCAGTAGCTACAACATAAAGGGTTTTTACGCAAAAATAAAATGAATTAAGTCTGAAAAAAAAAACCAAAAACAAACCAAAACGAAAACCAACCATCCAAACAAACACGAAGATGTTTTTGCCTCTTTCTTGGTGGCCTTGTTTGACTTACTTGAAGAATATGGGTGGTAAGAACTCGCCTAGTGGGGTGGGTGGCTGTGAGGCAGTTAACATAGCACAGGATCCAGCTCATTCCCAGGAACCAAACGTTATGTTTTTTGCCATCATTGTTATGTGTGTACGTATGTATGTGTGTATGTGTATGTCTGTATGTCTGTTTGTCTGTGTCTGTCTGTCTTTTTTGGTACAGTGATCCAGTGCAGGGCCTTGCACTTAGCACCACTGAGCTACATCCCCAGCCCTGCAAAGAGTTGTTATGTACTTACAAATATTATTATCGGAGTCTTGAGACTTGGGTCTTAAGAAGATCTTGTTAAGATGGTCTCTCTTTGTGTACTGTGTTTAGGCAAGTGAGTGTACATTTATCTTCTGAATGTTCAGATGAGAAGGGGAACAAGGGAGGCGGAGGGAGGAAGAAAAGACAGGACAAGAAAAAGAAAAGAGTAGAAGGAAAAAGGGAAATAAAGCTTTTGTAAATGAGGGGCAGAGGGATTAAGGAGGGAGATGAATGGGAAAAGAAGAGAGATCCTGTGCAGGTACAAATTTCCTGTGATGAATGTGATCATTATGTATGTCTAAAATGTAGCAATAAGATACACATTTAGCCCATCCATCTATATGATATAAAATAATTTGTCACTAGATATCTCATTTGCTTACTGAATTTTAAAATGCATTTAAAATTTTTTTTGAGTGAAGTAACAGTTGGAAGTTGTCAGAGTTACTGCATTGCGCTGAACCTAAGGTCTCGCCTTGGCAGGCGTGAGCTGCACTGCACGTGGCAGGTGTGGAAGCGTTGTGCTCATGTGCCTTCCCCAGCTGGTGTGTGGGAGTGGTTGGAGAGCTAGATGTAGGGGATGACGCTGCCGGTGGTCGTTGTGAAACATCTAGAGGGATGCTGGTCATTGCCACATGCACTTGCGAGGTTGGTGAAAGCTCCCGGCCAGATAGGAAACGGCTATTAGGCATAGAAAAGTCTTTTTTTTT